ACACTAACAGGTGTCGGAACATAAAGAGGGGCCTGAGACCTTCTGGGCTCAGGGACATTTTCTCCACCAGAGCCACCTAAACAAGTGAGGAGTGAGGGGGTGGGGCTGGGTAAGAAGAAAGTGGTCGATCAAGTGAAGGGGAAAGGAGGGAGCAGGGTCCCTAGTTCTCTAACACATGGGGACTCCCCCTAAAAAGTCTCCATGCCAAGACCACACCCTAAGTAGAAACAGTCTCTGGGATGGAACTTGGGCATCTGTGTATGTATGTAGTTGTATATGTGTCTACATGTATATATGTGCATGCATGTGTCTATGTGCACTAAGTGTGTAGGTATGTCTATCCATGTGTGCGTACATAAGGGTATGCACATGTATATATGTTATATATATGCATATGTATATATGTATGCATGTTATGTATATCAGTGTGAAGGTGTGTTTGGGCATGTATGTGTACATATGTGTATGAACACCGCAAATGTGTTAGTTATGTGTATATATGTATGTGTACATGTCTATGCATGTGTGTTATTTATCGTATGTGTTTGTGCATGCAGATATGCATGTGTCTTAAGAGTGTGTCTGGACATATACCTTGTATATGTGTACATATGCGCATATGTATATATGTGTTATTTATATGTGTATGCATGAGCATGTGTTTATAATTCATACATGATTCTACAGCTCAGTCAAGCTTTAGAAGCTGCCTTGGTGGAGGACTCAGTAAATAAACCAAGAGAAGTAGCTCATCCAGCCTCTTGGGGGCTGTAGAGCAGGCAGGAAGTGGAGCAGGAAGTGGAGATCACAGAAGGGGTAGTGACTGAACAGCCCCCCAGACCTCAACACCCCTGATGACTTGGAAGCTGGTCTTTGCAGGATTCAGCAGGGTAAAGATGGAGGTGGGATGGTCCTAGGATGGGGTGGGGTCTATATCCAGTGACTGTCATTATCAGTGACAGAACAGAGCAGGACACCCCTAGAGAGGCAGAGGACAGGACCCTGTGAAGATGGAGGCAGAAATCCAATTGATGTACACACAGAGGGGTGTGCCGAAGCACCAGGACCAGAGTAGGAGAGACATGTGGGGTGTGGCCCTCACTCCTCCAGGAGGAATCAACCCACTGGCTCCTGGTGGCAGGCTCTGGCCCAGACCTGGGAGAGCACAAATGTCTGAGTAAACATTTAAGCCACTGGACAGCAATTCCAGGAAGTCCAGGAAGAAGCCGAGTCACTCGGTTACTGCAAAGGTTGAGACCACCAGAGAGGAACCTGGGAAACAGGCCTGGGCACTGAGCAGCAAGGCAAAGCAGGGAGAGCTGCCCTAGCAGGTGCCTAGGAGAGGGAGGCCGCCCAGCTGCACCCCATATGTGGGCTTGTTGTTGGGGACAGAGGGGGTGTTCCCCCTGGAACCTCTGCCATATGCCCAGAGAAGTGGGAAGACAGTATCTGCTTGTAGTGGAAGGCGGGGATGGCAGAGCTGGGAGACCAGAGAATATTGGACACGGCCTCCAAGACTAATGAGGGGCCTAGAGACCCTCCAGGGGCCACCGGTAGCCACACCAGACCCCTGGGGGAAACAGGAAACACAGGTGTCAGGCTGTGTGGCAGGGAGCCGGGGTCTCTACAGGCTGGCGCATTGGTAGAAAGAACCTTCTAGGCAATCAGTCTAGTGTCCAAATAGCGGTCTCTATTGCCGTGTTCATATTTTTTCTACTAGAACCTGGGAAGGTACCCTTGTTCCACAAGTTGGGACGTGGGAGGCGCCTCTCCAAAGTAAATATGTTAGCTTTGTAAATAAGAGCCAGCCTGCTGTGTTTTTCTTACCAACTCATCTTCCCCAACAGGTGTAGAGTCAATTAGACAATAAATATTTCTCTACTTTCTTTGTCCATACATGTGAATCACTAATTGCCAGTATGTATTTATTATCTACCTACAGACTGTAAACCAAGCCAATTAGTCAATCAATGTTTATGGGTCTTCCAGGTAGAGAAGGTAATAAAACCCAAGAGGGTTTTTAGAGGAGGGCAAGTGATAGCTGGGGGTGGCTCTGCCAGGAAAAGTGTGTTACAGAAACCAAAAGAAGGCATTTCACAGAACTAGAAGGTTGGAGACTCCAGCTTGCCTAACTCCTGAGTGAAAATGGGTGAATCACGGGTGATTCACTTTACCAAGAAAGGTGGGGTTTCCTTATCTGTCAGAAGGATGTGGACCTCTGAAGGGGTGGGAAAACAGATTTTCAAAGTTCAAAGGGCTTTTTTAAAATCCTTTTTTAAAAACTATTTTAGGGTAGTAATTTACCTTTCTTTTTTTTCTTTATTATTTTTATGTGTATGTGTGTATTGCCTGCATGTAGGTAAGTGCACCCATGTCATGCAATGCCCGTGGAGGACAGAAGAGGCTGTCGGAGCTCCTGGAACTGGAGTTATGGACAGTTGTTAGCTGCCATGTGGGTGCTGGGATTAGAACCCAGGTCTTCTGCAAGAACAGGCAGTGTTCTTAACTGCTGATCCATCTCTCCAGTACCTTTTTAAATCTTTTTGAGATGGGGTCTCCCTATAGCCCCAGCTGAACTCACTATGTAGACCAGGCTAGCCTCGAATTCAGAGATCCACCTGCTTCTGCCTCCTGAGTGCTGAGATTAAGGGCATGCATCACCAAGCCCAGCTCAAAGGACTTTTGAAAGTCCTGCTGTTCCTGCTGGGGGTACCCAGGGTTCAGTGAAGATCCTAACTCAAACTCCTGTCAGAAATGCTGGCTTAGGGAGTCAGAAAGAGGGAGGCACCCTCGGCTTCACATCCCCGCCTTCACCCTGCAGCCCACTATAGTTCTTTCCTGAAGGTGAGCCCCGTCTGTTCAGTACCCGCGTTACACACACACCCCAAATCAGAAGGGAGAGTCTGCATTTCCTTCCAGAACCATCCAGAGACTTTCAAAACCAAACTGGGCATGGTGGCCACTGAGACAGTGTTCAGAGCACAGGGGTGGGGTGCATCAGGCAGAAGATGCGCTGTCATCTGGTGTCTCTCCTTCCCTGCTGGGTCTTGCTCTCCTAGCTCAAACTAGTAGCCAAATCAGCCTTGCCCTTTACCGGCTGCTGGGGAGAAGACCAAGCTCTGCTGCCCTCCACTCTCCCTCGCTTCTGAACATGGTGGCCCATCCTCCTCTACTGTGCCATATCACAGGCTCCTGCCCTCACTCTGTTCCTCCATGGCTCTTCCCTTCCCTCATTGAACAGAAACCACATTCAAGTCTTGTCTGACCCACTGAGTATCTTGACTTTGTTGTCATTTTTTTTGGTCTTTTTTTTTTTTTTCTTAATCAATACTGCATGTGATAGAACTTACAGGAAGATAGAACTCAAGACCTGCATGCTAATCGGGGACTCTACCAATGAACTACACCCCAGCGCAGTTGCCATTTTTAAATCAGGAGATTTGTTGTTTATCACTTAAAATTGACACACAGAGCCCATGTTCCTGTGTGGGAACAGGGCTGCTGTCAGTTAACAGCTGCCCACTGAGAAGGGGACAGTGTGGTTCTGGTCTCCAGTCTCACTATTCCCTACTGTCTGCCTCCAAAACTACCTATTTTCTTTACATCACCTACCTGGTCTCTGTAGGAAACTGATTTATAACAGCAAAATCAGTTTTTAATGTTTCCAGTAAAACAAGGAGGGATTCCTAAAATATAATTTAGTGTGAACATGATTATAACTACGCAGTTACCTGAGAAGACAGGATAAAGACCCTGTAGAAACAGTTTCCGTCTGAAACAATGTTTACTTTCCTCTTCCTTGTGCTTTTTAATAGAATTACTTTCAAAACTGTAGCAGGTGTCTGACCTAGTGGCACAAGCCTGCAATTCCAGTTACTCAGGAGGCTGAGGCAAGAGAGTTCAAGCCCAGCCTGGGATCTTAGTGAATTTAAGACCAGCCTGGACAACTTAGCAAGATGCTCTTTGACTTAAAAGTTTAGAAAGGGGCTGAGGATGTAGCTCAATAGTAGAGTACTTGTCTAGTATGTATGAGGCTCTGGGTTCAAGCTCCAGGACTGCATGCATGTGCATGTGTACACAAAGACACACAGCAGACAGACAGACAGACAGACACACACACACACACACACACACACACACACACACACACATACATACACACGAGTGAGGGTGTGTTGTGTCATTGCAAACCTTTCTTGAAAACACTGGACACAGCTTTTAAAGCCTGGTAGAACTCATGTTTCTGGAAGATTTTCCATAGCAGCTCTTGGGAACTTTGTACTGGTTCTGAAACTTTTCTGCAACTTTACAGCCACCTTGGGGTAGGGGTGGGGTTTATCCTTATTAGGTTGTGAGCTTGTTGGGCACAGGACATGTCTTGCTCATTCTGTGGATGCCCAGCACTGACCCTAACCCCAGACAGACATCAGTCAGCAGGAAGGGATAGGTAGAGGGCTGGGGTAGAGTGCTGTCTTCAGGGCTCTAGTTCTAATTCCAGTCCTGCCCCTTCTGGGCATGCTTACTAAATACTCAACCTACCCATCTGTGAAATGGGTATAATAAGGGCTGCTGTGCTCATGGCAGCACATGGGCACTTCCTACAATGCAGCAGAGCCAAAGCTCAAGGCCAAGCGTAATTCTTGCTGCATGGAGGGAAGAGGACAGAAAGCAGAGATGTGTGTTTCAGGAACTCACTGCCAATGCAACTATCCTTTTGAAGATCTGAGCAATATTTATACTTTTTTGACTCTTCTAAACAAAGCCGGAGGCTACCCATTATCCATGCTGTTTTAAAATTTCCTATGAGGCCACAGAACTCTCTACAAGTAAATAGAAGCAGAGATAAAACCTTTGTGGGTGTAGTTTGTACCCTTCTGGTCACCGCAGACCAATTCTATACCTTTGCAGGCTCCAGAGGTTCTTATAGGACACCTGTCTGGAGTGGACACTCATGGGTGGCTCACCTCCCCAGAAAGACTCAGCCCTGAGGCCTGACTTACAGCACTCAATGGGGTTGGATGCTGTCTGCAGAGAGACGATGCGGCCACTGGGCTCTGGGACGTGGACGCGGAATACCAGCCGCACCCGGGTGTTCTTTCTGCCGATGTCCGTCTCCCCTTTTCGAAGCTCAATGTCAGCATTTCGTAGCTTCAGGATGCCTGCGCAGTCGATGCTGTGCAGAGGAGAACCCCAAAAGCCATCTCACCAAGCAGGAAAGAACAACCACAGCCCTGCCCAAGATGGTCAGTCAAATGCATCTTCCAGCCAGCCACAGAGGGAAATTGCAATATACTCCTGGGTACTGAAACCAGGATGATACACAAAAGATGTCAACTTAAAAAAAAAAAAAAGATCTTTACAAGTAATTAGATACTCTCCCCAGTGGCCACTTCTCTAGGGAATTTTCATGCCAACTTTGCAATTCTCAAAAGCAACAGAAAAACTCAAATAAGGCAACTGGCAGAAATTGACCATGGGCCACTCCACAAATAGAACAGAGTATAGAGGCTTAATCTCCTGAATTTGATAAATGTGCTGTGGTTATGTAAGAGAGCACCCTTGCTTTGGGGAAATGCATAGTGGGGTGCTTAAAAGCAAAGGGCACAGCCAGCTCTCAAAGGACTCTGGGAAAAAATGGAGACTGAGAAGTGAACTGTGTTAGCGACAGGGACAGCCACAAGGACGGTACCCCAGGGTACTTGTACCCTTCCCACAGTTACCTGTGAGCTTATTTTCTCATAAAAAGGTTCTTTGATGCCAACATGTATTTGTCACACTGTCAGAGTTTAGCCACAGACAGATCAGCTTTGTAAGTGACCTGTGTTGTCACTTAATTTCTTTAGGTCCCATCAATCTTTTTTCCCCTCTTTGGTTCTTGAGACAGGGTTCTTCGTACCCCAGGCTGGTGGGGAACTCAAGGATGTAGCTGAGGATGATCCATCCCCACCCCCAGAGTGCTAGAATTACAAGTATGTGTTGCCACACCCCACAGTACTATCCAGATAGAAATCAGAGGAGTGGCTCTGAGATTGGGCAGTGTCACTGCTGTGGTCTAGACTGCTGCGGTTCCCTATAGGATCTTCTCCCAGATCCTACCACTCAGGCTTTGCTCCCTTCCCCGTAGTGCCCCCAGCCCTGCCCAGCCTTACGTGGCCCGCATGTTGTTCTTCGGTTCCAGTGGAATCTCCAGGATCTTGGTGTTGCCTACAATCTTCTCGTAGCTGGTAGTGGTGACGGTTTTGCCTGTGATCCTGTGTACCTGGTAGAAGGCATGCGGCTTGAGGATCCTCTCGTCGGCCGTCCCAATGAAGATTTGAAGTCCCAGGGGCTTGTTCTCCATGTAACCATGCAGCTGGGGGAGAAAACAGGGTGTTTGCTATGCACAGTGTGACCACTGGGGAAGATGAGAGATGCTCGTGGGCACTGAGAGTGGGCCGAGCATGGCCTGAATGGACGCCGAACCAGAAGCAACCTGGATGTCCAACTCAGATAAGTTTAAAACAGACTATTCAGCAATCACAAGAACAAAACACAGCAGATCAGAGCTGCATTCGTGGAGAAACTACCAGAAACTGTACTTAACTAGGGCCAGAGGGTTGGGAAGGTGGGGCAGATAAGTGAGGATAAAAAATAACCTGGAGATGCCGCCCCCTTGCAGGACCTAAAGGCAGATGATGGCAGTCAGCGGGGAGCAGTTCTCAACGGGGAGCAGCTCTCAGCAAGGAGCAGCTCATGAGGCCCTACCCCTCCCTGAGTGTCCATAGGCAGCTCATGGTAGTTGGGAAAGGGAGAGATGTTTTCTTCAGTGGTAAGTTATCCATATTCCTGTAAACCAACTCTCAACCAGGAGCCCATGAGCAGCCCTACTGAAAGCCAATGGGTCATCAGAGTTAAATACACAAATAAATATGAGAACAGAAGGGGGACTAAAGGAGAAGAGGAATGGGATCAGTGGATCATAGGATAAAAATACATTATACATGTGAAAATACCATAAAGAAACCCATTACTGTATATAATCAATGTATGCTGGTTAAAAAAACAAATAAAATACTTCAGAGAACAAATCAGTGTGAGAATGAACACAATGAAAAGAAAAACTCCGGTGGTATTACAACAAAAGGGAGGGAGGGGATTAGACAAGGGGGCAGGGAGGAGCCTAAAGACACAAACACGTAGCTCTTGTTGACCAAGGTTTACCTGGGAAGATTGGGAGAAAGCATTGTTACTTTTTACATGACAACATTCCAATTAGCACAGATTGATTTTATACTTTAAAAAAAAAAGGTCAAGGCATCAGGGCAATCAGTTAAGACAAAATTAATTAAAGTCTGGAAGAAAATGTATATCACACTTGGCAGGCAAAAGATCAATGGGACATATAGAAAGAATGTGCAAAGAACGTCCACAAGGAAGGACAAAGAGAGCCTCACCTCTAATGTCTGTCTCTAGCTCCTCCTTTCCAAATCCAATCAAACATACAATATATTTTCGTGACTCCTCCCTACAAATAAGCTCCCAACTCTTTGAGAACAGGATGTGTCATTGGCCACAAATATCACTGGTGCCTAGAAAGATGCTCGGCACAGAGTGGTATTCAAGCATGCATCTGCTGAAAGAGTGACTAAGAAAGAGCTACCCAACAAGGGAAAAAATGGCTGTGTGGTCATATCTATTAGCACAGAAGACAGGCTCAGACTGGTATGTAAATAGAAAACACACATTAAACACCCAGGAGCTGCCATTTCCCGTTAGATGGGCACACATGTGGCAAGCTGATAATATCAAGTGTTCTGGAGGCTGCAAGAATGGGTGGTCTCCTGCAGCTGATAGAAATGTAAATTGTTGTAAGTACTCTAAAGAGCTTTAGAGTAGTTGAGAATAAACATATGTACAAATTTGGAAACAGACACCCTACAACCCATCATGGCTCCTGTCAATACGCATGAAGAAGCAGCAGGCATGCAGGAGATGCTCACAGCAACATCTGCTAAAACAAACAGAATCATGAACAATTAGTTATATGGATAGGCTGGACTAGAGTCAAGGGCCCAGACAATGAAAGTAGAAGCAACAGTTCAAGAAGTACACATTCTATGCACTGACCCTGAAAGGCTTAACACACACTGTCAAGGAAAAAATGAAAATGAGGCCAGTGAGATGATTCAGCAGGTAAAGGGGTCTGCCACCAAGCCTGATGCTTTGAGCTCACATTGGTAAAAGGAGAGAAGCAACTCCCACAAGTTGTCCAGTTGTCCTCTGACCTTCACAGGCAAGCGCTCTCTCTCTCTCTCACATTGACCTCTGGTTTATACACTAATACACATGTACACCGCTCACATGCATATGTACACACACACACACACACACACACACACACACACACACACACAGGGAGGGGGGAGGAGGAAGGAAAAAGTAAATAAATGTTTAAAAAATTAAAGAAAAAAATGTGTCAAAACCTGCAACTTAATGTAAACAGTGCAGAACATTTTCTATTGATCTATTTATACATCCACAGATGCAATAGAAAAAGTTATGGAAGGATGTGATCCAAACAGACCACACTGTGACTGCCATTAGGAATGAAGAAGGAGCTCAAGACTGTCAAGGTAACCAAAGAGGACTGTGATTTCATACACCATGGTACAGGAAGCGTATACTCCAGGGGAACTTGTGAAATTCAATATTAGATTTCAATATATATTAAATAACAAAAGGCAAAGGAATGTTGAGCTAAGAATCTGGTGAAGATTCTAGCTAACCATTCCCCAGAGTCCCCTTCGATCCTTCCCAGCCTCCATTCCTATCTCTGCAAACTATGATGAGAAACAACTCACTGAGTCCCCAACCTTCTCCAAAGTTCTATAGAACTTCAGTAAGATGATCTCTTGTTTCCTGCCAATAAAACAAAACAAAACAAAAAAACAAAGAAAGGCCTGGGGGTGATGGGTGGTGATGCATAACATTGTGCTGCTCAATGCAGGATCCAGCAGACAGATAACACAATGAAACGAAGATGGGCACAGCCCATAGTCACCTGAGAAGGGAGTTTCAATTGAGAGATTTCACAGATCAATTTGGGCTGTGGGCAAGTCTGAGGATGGTCTTGATTGTTAACTGTTACAAGAAGCCCCAACCCACTATGGGTGGCACCATTCCCTAGGTGGGTGGTTCTGGGCTATGTGAGAAGGCTAGCTAAGCATGGGCCTGGGAGTGAGACAACATCATCCCTTCATGGGTCCTGCTCAAGTTCCTGCCCTGACCTCCCTCAATGATGAGCTGTGACCTGTAAGCTGAAATAAACGCACTCCTCCACCAAGCTGCTTTTGGTCAGAGTGTTTCATCACAGAAACAGAACAAAACTGTAACAGTCTCTGAGTCAAATTCAGCATATTCTGAGTGCTCACTGGCCATGTGTGGCTGGTGGCCACCATGGTAGACAGCGTGGCTATCTACTGTGGATGTCCACTGTTTCCATCCTCAAAGAGCATTCTACTGAACAGTGCTGGTTTAGGAAATGGAGCTCTACTGTCTCTTCTAGAAGCCATACAGAGACAGGATGGCGTGAGAGCTGAGCTGGAGGGCAACCTTGTTTGTCACCTTCCTGCTAGGTTGACACCCACAGCATGGACAGCAAAAGGTGAAATCTAAATCAAAGCATCTTATCTGGAGATCACCTGCTGCTTTTCAATGACACAGATCAAAAAGGAAGGCAGGCCCTCTGTGTGGCTCTGCGTGGGAGCCCAAGGCAAGCGTATTTCCTAATCTAATTCCCTGGCTCATCAGCAGTGGGAAACACTGGTCCACAGTCCCAGGAGAAAAGCCAGCAGAATGACTGTGAATACTGATGTCCGGGGCTGCTCCCTCCTCCAGCCACAAGAAAGAAATGCACAGTATGGTGACCTGTGGAGAACAGCTGGTGAGTGCATCCTCACGGTGCTCACCAAGTCCAGCCATTTCTGTCCCATCCCTTGTGGGCACCCCAGTCCAAGCTGTCATTTGTATGACCTCTCATGTGGTTGACTGTCAATACACAGTTTGCCTCTTGCTGGTCTTTCACAGAATAGTCCAGTAATATTTTAACAATGCAAACCAGATCCAGGCCCTCCCCTGCCCTCAACCCTCCAAAGACTTCCTGGGGTGTCAGAATAAAATCCCAGCTTAGTGGTACCGTGGTCTCTGAAGTTCCCTGCAGCCAAGCCCCTAGCTTCTCTATCTATCCTGCCAGCCATCTTCTGTTGAGCTTGTTCTGACCCCAGGGCCTTTGCACAAGCCATTGTCTCTGCTCAGAGTATGGATCTTCACCTCTTTTTCCCCAAACCATAGGGTATTCATGCGTCTAGGACTGAAGCCAGCTCCTTACAAGAAACAACAGTCAAATGTCCAGGGATTTTAGGAGCCAGTAAGTACCACTTGTATACAGGTCCCCAGACTTGGTTAAGAGGTATACCACAAAACTGGTGACTGCTTCAAGGAAGAGCGTGGGCAGGGGGGTGAACATGGAGGGCAGGAGACAGCCTTGGGTGTCGTTCCTCAGGCACCATCCCCCTTTTTGAGACAGGGTCTCTCTCTGGTCTGGAATGCATTAAGTAGGTTAGGCTGGCTGATTGGCCAGTGAACCCCAGAGATCCCCTGTCTCTGCCTCCCCAGCACTGGGATTACAAATTGGTACAGCCACACCAAACAGACTTGGTTTTTCTTGAGTTCTGGAAATCAAACTCAGGTCCTTCTTCATGCAAGGCAGTCGCTTTACCAATTGAGCCATCTCCCAAGCCCCAGGGGGAAACACTTCCTAGCATGTTCCCAGAACAGTGACTTCTTTCCTACCCATCCCCCTTTAGTCACATGTTCATCTGCAGAGCCATCTTCCCACACCCCACACACCTGAACCCGAGTTCCACAGTAGTGGGGACCTCTCACATCCCCTGATAGCTAGGAAACGTGTGTTAGAGCATTCACCTTCAACAATGACACACTAATAATGAAGCTTCCCTCACATCAGACACTGCACTCAGTGGTTCATGTGTCACACAACTCTACCCAGGACTGGCCAAATCATCACCCACTTTACAGATGAAGAAACTAATGCTTGCTATAGGCTGGGCAACATGCCCAATCAACAAAGCTCTTAGAGGACAGAGTCAGCATGTGAATCCTGACTCTGGCCCCAAGCCACCTCCCTACCCAGGCAAGATCTTCACACCCACAGCTTCTAGTGGACTTAATCTCTCATCTAAAGACCCAGGTGAGACACCACAGGTCCTGTGGGGGTTGGGGGAGGGCAGTACCAGATGACAGCAACAGTGACCCTATTATTGAGGAACAAGATGAGGTGGAGAGGGAATGAAG